TGCTGATGACAAAGGAAAACACATATATTTAGCCTTTTAGGAGTATCAGAAGATCAAACTCACAATGGCTGAAGAAATCTTGTGGGTTCTTTCTTCATCAAAGAAGAATAAATGTTTTCTCATACAAAGTAATTTGTGTGAATATTATCTATAATTCAGAATAGTCTTCATTTTTATTTAGTGTTAATTTCTCATCACTCATCTCTAGACGTGCTGAGTTTTACTTTATTCTAAAAATAGTTTCAGTGAATTTGCACCTCAGCATCACAATCCAGAAAAAACTTGTGTCTACTCAGTTCTTTGGCTCTATTGCCCCCACATTTCTGGCCCCCCTCTAGCCATGATGAAGAGCAACATACAATACTTCCAGTTTTGGTCTAGCCCTTTGCTGCAACATCCCTACTCGCACACTTGTGAAGTTGCTAAATATCCTACTGAGTCATTTTCAATTGGTGCCAGAAAAAAGACTTTTGCATTTATAAAAAATAATCAGAAACCAAGTTTAAACTGAGTTTTCCGGGTGTGTTTTAAACTACACCAATTAAAGCAAACTGTCCCAAATCCAGGTAGGCTGACATGGTCATGACAGCAGCGCAATGTGAACACAGAGCCATGATAAATAGGACAGCGTTTAGCATTCTTAAATTGCAAAAATTCTCCTGCCATAGCTAAACCTTTTCATGACTGACTGATGAAAGGGAGCTATCAAAGCTGAAGAATAAAAAAAGCTGCTGCTGCAGGATCATTTCATCCTGCTGGGCACTGGAGGAAGGAGGCAGGGAATGAGGTTATTAGGCTAAGCCTAATCAAGAAAGCAAACCCAAAACCAAAAAGTAAACTTTGCAATGAATGCCCTCACTGCTATATATAAAAGAAAGAGGGCAAGTCTTGTGAAACACCTTAATGATGCAGTTAGCACTTGTGCTAAATAGATATGCTATGCAGGCTGCTATTTTACTTCAAATCCCTACTTGTGCAATTCTGCTGATATTCTCTGTCTCTCCCATAGCACACAGAAAAAATTAGTAGAGTGATTTCAGACAAAAACTTCAAGTACACCAGAAGACCTCTAGAATCTCATAAAGAGCAAAGAACAGAATAATTTCTAAATCTACCTTCTGGACAAGAAGTCAAGAGCTTAGCTTTCACTTTGGGCTCAGTAGGAGAAGTTTTGCTGGAACTGTGAAAAAATAGCTTCAAACTATATAACACAAAGGAAGAAGTACAGACAATCACAGCTACTTTTCTGATAACACTTCAGATTATTTCTTTCACATTTCTAAGTGTTTCTGTGAAGCTGGGAATGGGGAGCTGGTAATAATGGCAAGTTTAACCACAGTTGACTACAAGCATAAAGTAGTGACCAGTGGAAAAGCAAAAGAGAACAGCAAATAACAGATGGCCAGAAAGAAGTCCCTCTAAAACTGAGTAGTCTTACAGAGAGGAAAATTAAGCATTTCCACTGCAAATATGCATAAACTGCAAATATGCATAAGCTGGAATGGCCAAAAGTTAAGATAGGAAATCACGTACCTGTAACAGTTCTAGAAATAATGTCAGCATGGATATTCTCTACAACTACCTTTTTTTTCAAGACAGACTGAGAAAAAATACATATCCTTGTCTTTTGTACTGCTCTTTTGCATAAGTATCACCCCAGTTAGGCAGATTTTGCTACTCAGAAGTTATTAATACAAATGCTTTCACCAAAGTTGCTGTGGAACTTACTTGAGAAACCAAATGCTGATGGCCACCAGCTGACCACACTTCAATCAGCACATGTGTAATCATTACAAATTTTAATGGAGAAGCACAGCTGACTTCACTGTCCACGTGAGTTCCCTCTATAGACATGAGCCAACTACTGGCTGCCTAACCTCTTTCCTGAAATAAAATGCGAGCAAGGTGCTAAAGGGCAGGTCAACCTTGCTGTAGCATTTTGGATGTAGGAAGATCTGGTTTGGCTCTAACTGATCGTACCAGACAACTTCTCTATGGTTTCAGTTAGAATGAAAGCCAGAGTACAGAGAATTTATTCTAGCAAATTTTTACAGGCATTTCCAAAAGGAGTAATAAATACCCATGGGAGGCTGATCCAGCCACCCAACATTTGTCCTGTGCTGTTCAGTGTTCCACTTCTCGAAATAAAACAACTCCAGATACTCAGCTGCTTCTTCTGCCGGATTCAGATACCTGCTGCAACACAGCTGATAACATCCAGCTTACTGAGCAAGAGACTAATGAAAAACCTAGGCTTTCCTTTATGCTAATGGTACCCCACAGTTTTTTTCTCATGTGTGGGGGAAAGGGGATGGGGAAGAGCACAGCATATAAAAATGTCCCTACAGGGGTGGAATATTTCCTCAGGGTACTCCTGAAGAAGAAGACAGAATCAATGATACTTTGATTTCTACACTGCAAAACTGACACTTCCATTAGCATACTATGTTGGTGGTCTGGCTCACATTTTACAAACATACACTACAAAAAGCTTCTTGATTTTTGTTTCAAGTAAGTCTCAAGGACTCAGTTTACCGATAGCGCTGCTGGTATAAGGAGATGTTGCCTTGTACTGATTTCTCTCACTAGGAATGCATTGAGAACAAATTCCCTTGGGGGTATTGTAAAGAATTAGGGAAAGATATATGGTAATGGTCTCTCCAGAACATCTGGTAGGCAATGGCAAGTAACTTTCCAAGACAGAGCTAGAAGAAGCTTCGGTCCTGTGAGGAAAGCAGAACAAGGACTCCATGAACTATACAGAGCAAGTAGTTCAAACATAGATCCTTTACGTTCCTATACAGAGAAAATTACTGCAGTGCTGTACAGTACACTGATCCTATAAGTTTGCAGTCTGCTGCACGTTTGGCAGTACTGCATTCAAGAAACAGGGTCCCTGTGTCTGCTGAAATTGAGGAAAAGAAGTAATAGAACTGAGGCTAGGAGAGCTGGATGGAAGCAACAGAAACATGTGGGACGCAAGGACTTGGGTAGCTGATGTGGCAATGTGAAAAACACATCAGCTTAGTAAAAGGATACAGTCTGGAATTCCTAGTTTGAGCATAAAGGCGGAAAGGTACAGGGCACAGGGCTGGGTTTGTGCTTTCTGGCTTATAGCCATATGAAAATCTTGAGTGAAACTGCTGGAGTTGAGAGTGAAGCTACTAGAGCGTCCAAGCCTCTGCTATAACTAGTCGGTCTGGTGTTCCTCACTCATTGGAACCACCACTAGAATTTTTTCAACACTCAAACTCATAGAGATTTTCTGCTGTTCCCTTCTTCAGGCTCACCTCCAGGGAACAGAAGAAAGATGAGGCAGGCGGAAGATTTGGGACTCAAAATGGAACTGTGGGATAAACTCCAGTGGCTTTTCTGTGACAAGGACCTGCAGTGCATGGTGGGTTCTAGACATGCTGTAGCAATGAGTGGTTTACAGCAGAGCTTCTAAGCCTGAGATTGGCTACTGCTTGGGATCAAGTCAGCTGGTAAGAGCTGAGAAGCACATAGGAACAGCCAGAGTTACACTCATTCAAATTAAAACTGCAGTGAAGACTTAACTATTAAAGTGCAGACATTACTTCCACCGGGTAAATACAGCAGGGAGGAAATGGTACACAGGAGTATTTGATTTTTGTTTGAAGCTTTTGTTTAAAAAAAGTGTTGAATGTGTCACTGCTGACAGGGGTATTGAATAGTTCCCACTGCTGTGATACAATTGAAATCTCTGCTGATGACAAGTAGTAGCTCTAAATTGTTAAAACCTGGAACAGATCGGCACTAAACCACATTTTCTCCCTATTGAATAACAAAGGTTTGTTAGCTGAAGTCCCTTGCAATCAACCCTTGCACAAAGCATGCATTCCCAATGCCAGCTGTTGTTAACATATTAACAAGAAACTGATTTTGGATGTGAAAACATCAGGAGTTAAATTTCCTCATTTACCCTTTTTTACCAGTATAGAAATAACTGCATGTAAAAATACTGTTTACTCAAAATAACTACAGTACTAAGTGTGGAATAAATGCAAATCAATAAAAAGAACTAAATTCTTTTTTTAAAGACACAAAGAAAACAAACCCCTAATATTTTGTGCACAATTAAGGACATTATGTTTAGGGCTACATAGTGTTTCAGTAAAAATCAGTGTCTGCTGAACATAAAAATGGCTTTATAAATGTTTCTTGATATCAATTACATATTACAAACTGAAAAGTGAAATTAGAGAGCAGCAGGATGTATTTATTTATCTAAAAGAGGTCACTATTTCAAATCTGCGGGTACCAGAATACTTTAAAGGAAAGCCTGTACTAAATGAAAAGACAGCAGAAAAAAGGCAGGTCTGAATTCATCTGGAATAAAATCATCTGGAAAGAGCTGTAATAAAAAAGCAGTTTCAGTCCTGGGATTTTTTAACTAAGCCAGCTGATTAGCTCTGCAAAGACAGGGCAAAAAAAACCTATTTAAAAAAGGAAGCACAATAATGAAACCTAAAGAAAGGCAATATAAAATAAATCTCTCAACATAAATGAGATGAGAATTCATTTTCCCTGTGATGCTCTCCACAGCTCCTGAAAGTGCCTGCTGCTGGCAATGAATGAAATAAAAGGAGGAGGGAGAGCAGAGGGAAAGAGGTGTTAGCTTACCAGCCGGTGGAGCTTATCACTCCACTCCCTTCGTGACGCTGGAAACTCACAAGCCTATAAAATGTGCCTTGGCTGCTTCGGCAAAATCAAAAGCAAGAGGTGGCTGTACACAGGAGAAGTAGGATGCTGTTCTACCCTGAGGTAGCTCTCCTGACTTGGCTGGTACAGCACTTGTAACAGTTTGAGCAGCATAGTCAAAGCTTTTTTCTGACAGATCTGCCCTGTACCTGCTGTGCTGCCTTCCTTCCCCTTTTCTTCCTTCCCTCTTCTTATCTGTTGGTGGGGATTTTGGAGGGTTGGGAAAGGGAGGTAGGAGAGTCACATCATTCCTGGAAGAGAGGAGAGGAACATCCAAGATGACTTCTGTCCCCACAGCCAACTGGAACATGAGCATGAGCAGCAGGGGGAACGTGAGCCTTGCTGCAGCAAGTGATGCCTGGGGACAGGCACTGGGAGCACCAGCTGGAAATGCTTCTCCCCCCATAGCATCCTCACCAAGCAACTTCTCCAATCAGTTTGTACAACCCTCTTGGCGCATTGCCCTGTGGTCTCTGGCTTATGGTGGTGTGGTGGCAGTGGCTGTTTTCGGAAATCTCATTGTCATCTGGATTATCCTGGCTCACAAGCGCATGAGGACAGTGACAAACTACTTCCTGGTGAATCTGGCCTTCTCTGATGCCTCCATGGCTGCTTTCAATACCCTCATCAACTTCATCTATGCACTGCACAGTGAGTGGTACTTTGGAGAGGCTTACTGCCGCTTCCACAACTTCTTCCCAATCACAGCTGTCTTCGCCAGCATCTACTCCATGACAGCAATAGCTGTGGACAGGTGAGAAAAGAGAAGAAAAGTTTAGGGGTGAGAGATTAAGATCAGGTTATCTGCCAAAATAAAAATACGGAGATAATAATCATTATGATGAGAGGCAGAGACCTGAATAGGTCATCTATTGTGCTTCTCTGTAGTTCTTTAAGATCTCTCCCTCACTGTTTTAATTCCTGTCTTTGGTCTCTGTCCTTCAGCCTTTTATTGTTTTTACTTTCCTGCTGTCTTTTATAACAAACATTTCAGCTCTCTGTTTGACTTCAGCTGCTCTCTGTGCTCTGTCTTTCAATACTAATTCTGTAACAGCACTCATTGCTCGGGGTTTTGCTTCTCCACCTGTAAAAACAGTATCTGTCCCTCAGTCAGTGTCATCTAACTCATACTGATTAGGAGTTGTAGAGATTGTGTGTTAAGGGAGAGGATTTCAAATTTCCCTCCTCTCTGTATTTCTATGGCTGGCAGAGGCATTTGCCTCCTCTTCAAAAATCACTTCAGACTCTGTTTTTAATAGCTTTTCTCACAGACAGCTCTGAGCTGCTTCGTTTCTCCCAGTTTTAATTAATGAGACTATTTACATTGCCATCTGTGCATATGTAGAGGACTGATAAGAACATGATTTCAAAGTGCTCAATTTTTTCCTGATAAACAAGGCTTTGTGACTGTCAAAGAAAACAGGACAGGGAAAAACTTTACCTTTATACTCTTGACAATAATGGAGTAAGACAACTGTAGTGTCCATAGAGTAAAGGGGAAATGTAGTTGCCTGATTTTCAACACAGATGCATTGATGGACTGTCTTTCACAAAAGGTGCTGTGAGTCTCCCCTGGGAAATGTTTCTTTCTTTATTATTGTTTTCACATTTGCTGCGCTGGAGAGGTAACTTACTGAATTTTCCTTTAGAAAAACAGATCAATTTGTACTTCAGATCTCTTATTCCTTTTAGCAATGCACTGAATTTACTTATAAAACTCATTTCTACATATTCAAATCCCATTATATATCTTTTCTGAATTGACTTGGCAGAACTGCAGCACTTCCAAGTGATGGTAGTTAAGATTTCATAAGGTTAAATCCGTCTTCTGAAATATTATTTCTCATTTCCAGGTGCAAAGATTGGGAAACGTTGTTGTATCTTTTGTCTGTGTTTGTGAACAAGTTTATAAATTAATAGGGCTTTTTCATTTGCCCTAGTAACTGCAAATTTTTTGTGGCATTCTCAGCCAGATGCATTACTGTTCCATAAAGCTAGAAACGAAAGAGAAAATGAGATTCTTGGCAACTCTTCTACCTCTTTGCTCTGAGGATGGGTGAAGACACATGGAAATCAGTACACTTTCCTCCCGACAGTGGTGTATCTTCTTCCCATGTTAATTCTTATTAATAATGGAGCAGGTAGTGTAATGCCAGTGACACTACCTTCGACCAGGCAAAGATTTCTTTCATTGTCTGTTTGGGTTTAGCTTAAGATTCTCATCTAGCTTGTGGTTTTCAGAAAGATAAAAGGGCTTTAGTTGGTGCTGGGTATTTAGCAGCTATTGTTGTAGCTGATCAAGTCATTAGTTGAGCAGTTACTCAGAGCATCTGAGTTTTTTTTCATATAGGTTTTTTTTCATATTTTCTGACAAAATTATCCACAGATATATAGTACTTACTACTTTGAAAGTTTCTAAATTTATGCTAAGATCCGGGAAAAGAAGGTGAATATAGTTCCTCAGGAATCCAAATAGCGCATTTCCAGAGTGAGTGAAATTAGCTCTGCTGCACACTGACTGAAATGCAATGGTCAGATACAAAGATATTAGAAATGTTTTCCTTGGTTTAGCAATGTGAGATGCTGATGCTCAGAATTGTGTCAAGCGTGTCACGTAAAACAAACACAAGAGCAGTCTATCCTTCCTTCCCTGTTCACACTGTGATTCCTTTTCCTTTTATACCAAATAACACCTGATGCATTCAGTACCTTTAATAATTTCCTGGCTACCTCTGCAGAACAATTCTGCATAGTCAAGAGGAAAACTAAGGGTCAAAGAGAATCCCAAGGAATGTCCTTGGATGTACAGACTGTCGTATTCCAGGACACAGATATGCTGGATGGATATTTTTTAAAACTTTGGTTCCCACTTGCGTTCTGTAAAAGTTCAGCCAGTGCTTCACTGGACACTCTGCATTAGTTTTAACCCAGTAAACTCATCCTTACATGTTCTTTTAATTCAAAAATTTAAAACAAAAACAACAAAGCTACAAAGTAGGATAAAGCTACCAAGGGAACTGAATTGATGGGATCATATCAGATGATTTTCCATTAGAAATTGTAACCATCCCAAACACTGAAAGGTCATGGGTTGCAGCTCACTAAAAAGTATGTTGTGGTATGCTCCACTGATCATTTTCAAACATCTAAATGTTCACAGATTATGAATGAGTTGCTGTGAATCTAGACACCACTGAGCAGAGGTCACAGGTAGTATGTGTTTCCTTTCATGTCTGATTTTGTAGGCCATTCTAAATTGTGTGCACTGTGAGATTACTGGACTGACAGGGAGTTATGTGGAGCAGGCAGTTCCTGCAGTGGGGTGTGCTGCATCTGGAGCTGAGGATGAAAGTATGCAAGACTTACAGCAAGTATGCAAGGCTGCTGTATGACCACCCTGTCTGAACACAGTCTCAAATTTATGTGAGTTTATTCACACTTCTGACCACTCCTTCCCAGTATTTCCCCCCCTGCTTTCTGCTTCTTTTCCAACAGCCTGTTTGCAGTCTACTGGAGAGATGCCACAGGTAGCTTTAACAGAGTCAGCTTAGGCATCAGAAGCAGCACAGATTTTACACTGGACTCCTTCATAGGCAGTCATTCTTTCATTTTTCTTTAGTTCATGCTGCATAGTTCCACAGTTACAGGTAAACTGAATAGGGGATAGTTCTGGAGCCAATACGCCCCTGCCACTGACCAGTGCATGATCCCGAAGGGTCCATCCATCATCCTAAACTCCACCTGTGATCACTGACTGCTGTACAGTTCTTGGACATATTAAAGACAGTAACTTAGGCAGAATGTAAGCCTTCTGACTCTGGCCATTGAAGACCCACTGTCCCTTTCTGTAAGTTCTTAGCATGCAAAGGAGGTGGTTCAGGTAGGCCAGCAATTAATTTTGAATCCCAAGATTGCCTCATTATACTGTGCGTAGGCCTAAAAATTCTCTGCAGATGGTTAAAGTGGAAGTTTGGGGATATAGCAATATAGCACAAAATAACATGCCTTCAGCACATCTCTTAGTATCATGAATTTTTTCCTGGCTTTAGCACATCTTCAGTATTACTTTCTCAGTTACTGTTCTCTCAGCAATTCCATAATGCTATTCTCATTTAAATGAGTTTAACTCTTTATAAAAGCAACCTCTCTGGAATTAAAGAAAGTATTCTAATAATGATGGTGAGTAGTTGCTGATCCTATTCATATCCTACCATTCCTTTTCTTCCTAGTATGGAAGCAAGCTTTTGGCATTTGAAGCCAAAAAACATTTATTCTACTTTACATTACTTTAAATTATATTTAATATTCAGTTTTATTTCTCTTGCACAATCCTCTCTTATTCAGCACTTGTCATTCTAGTTTCCCACATTATTTTCTAGACTGCTAATATGTCTGCAGAAGCACACGTATACTGGGTCAGTTTTCTTTTTTTCTGTGACATTGTTCAGTTACTGATGGCTGTTCATAACCTCTTTATACACTCATTAGACTCCAGAGTAAGTAATATGATATGAGCTTGTAGCAGAAGACAGATACAAGGCATAAACACTTGATCCAACTTATCATATAAAACCTAAATTCATAATATGTACACACTCAGATCCTCAAAATATCATTTAGGCTCTTCAATCTCTTCAAGGGTATTCTGTAAGAGCAGTTATTATTGTCACAAAGTAGTATCACAAGCCCTACAAATTAATGTTACTGAAATTCTAAGTAGGCAGTTGGCACATTGAAAAATGTCTTATCTTTCCAGTAGAACACATTTTGATATCAGTCTCTACCCAAGGCCTTCATGCGTCATAAACCTTTTAAACAGATATTTCTGCCAAACTATCTAGTATCTGAATGTTAAGTATCTGTTACCTGCCCTGTGTGCTCAGAAACACTTAAGTATAGGGTGAAGTTTATATGTAAAAAGATCTCAAATGTTTCTAACAGGTTAGGATATGGAATGCACAGGGCATAACTCTGTATTGAGGTCATATGGTAGTGGTATGAGCAGAAGATGCAAACCAAGAAGGTGTACACATGCCTGGCATCAAGTTGTTTGCGCTTGGCTCACCAATGAATAGAGGAAGCTGAAGCAATGGAAGGCAGGAAACCTGCATCGCCCAGCCAGCTGTCATCCCCAGCACAGAGCTCAGCCCAAACAGAACTGCAGCCTTTGGCCCCTCTCTCATTCCCTTTCCCTCAGATTTGGATGTCTCAAAGTAAATGGTTTCCATGTAAAAGAAGTGAGAATTTGCTCTGAGGACTGGGGAGAGAGAGATGAACATCAGAACAAGAAAAAAAAGGCAGACGGAGTTCTTTTCAGATTTCTCATGCTTCACAGGTTGTTTTCCCCATAGAGATCTTCCCCTCATATCTGAGAATATTTTTGTAAGAAGAAATAGATGGAGTTTCTGTAAACTCACTGGTCTAGTTTTCCATAAGATGGCATTTTATTGTTAGCTATTGTTCCTGCCTATAGTGTCATGTAACTACAGAAAACACTACCTGCCCTACCCCTACTACCAAACTAAAGTCCAATTCGACTTTTTTTTCAAACTAATGGATGACTTCATAATCATGACTTCAGGAATTATCCTGTTTTACTGCATATCATAAAGGGAAAAATGTAAGATATGCTTTAGAAATTATCACTATTATTTCTATTCTTACTTTGCTAGTCAAACTACACAATTCAAAGAGTAAATCCCTTCCCCATTTCTCTGTCTTTCCCAAATAGTATTTAAAGATGAAGCACATCTT